GCTGCTAGGAGCAGGTCGAGCCGCGCCAAAGCAAGCAGAGGCCCGGCGACATGCTGTGCTGCAGGAAGCCGAGTCGGTGGCGAGGAGTGCGGTCTTAGAGGAAACCTTGCCTTCATTGGCGAGGCGAAGTTCCTTGAGAACGAGCTTCTGGCGCGTGGTGTTGAAGTCGAGCAGCGGCGAAGTGTCAGCGATGTTGTCTGCCGTGCTGGAGAATTGTGGATTGAGGTTGTGGAGGAGGTTGAGGACGAGCTGTGACGGCGAGACAGCATGGCCGACATCTTTGAGGGCATCGGCAATGGTCTTCATGCGCTGGTAGTAGTCGTTGATAGATAGGTCTCCCTGTCTCATGGAGGAAAATTCCTCATGCAGGAAGATAGCGCGGGGCTCCTTGTTGTAGAGGAACAAGCCCTCAACGGGTAAGTCGTTGATAGATAGGTCCCCCTGACTCATGGAGGAAAATTTCTCATGCAGGAAGACAGCGCGGGGATCCTTGGAGAGAAACAAGCCCTTGACGGCGACCCAAAGTTGGCATGCTGTCTGATCGTCCTCCCTGGCGAGGGGCGACAGACCCGAGGAGTCAACTTTGGACGCAGGTATCGTCCATCGTCCATGCCTCCATGGCCCGCTGGGGATCGGTGGGATTGGCCGGAATAGTCCCATCGATGTGGCCGCGAAAGCTGAACTTCCCAAGCAGGGACTTGAGAACCTTGGGTGTTGTAGCTTGAGGATGATGGGGACGTGAGAGTGGACGGCGATCGTGGTGTAGGGGGCGACGATCGGGCCGGCGGGGACAGAGCCCATGGTGCCGCTGGTGGCAAAGGCGGCAGAAGAGTCGGTCGCCATGGGATGGAGGCAGACGAGTTTGCAACCAGGGGAAGCCGTGAGCACGTGGGAGCAGAGGAGACTGCGACCCGCGACCTTGAGAGTCGCCGCGAGCACGCGAGAGCAGATGAGACCGCGACCCGTGACGCCGCGAGCACGCGGGAGCAGAGGAGACCGCAACCCATGACCTTGAGTCGTCGCGAGCACGCGGGAGCAGAGGATACCGCCACCCGCGACTTTGAGTCGACGTGAGCACGCGGCAGCAGAGGAGACCTCGACCCGCGACCTTGAGTCGTGCGCACGAGCTTCGCGGATGGGAGGGGAGGGAGCGACGCGCAAGGAGGCGCGCGGCACTTGCAGGGGGTGCAGCGTACGCGGGAGGCTCGCGCAAGGGAGGTGGCTGCACGCGAGGGGGATTACATGGGCGAGGTGAGGGAGATCGCGTGCGTGGGGGTGGCCGCGCGGCCGTGGAACTGGCGGCGCGGGGAGAAATTAGGGCAGAGGAGAACACCGGGAAGGGGCCTGGGTGTCTGATACCATGTAGAATATTGGGATAACACCTCACACCCATTAGGGAGGGGTGGATTTCATATAGGGAGATTTGGAGATTTGTTCATATATGTAGCCAAGATACAACTTGGAGTACAAGTTACTTGATATACCTGTGTTAGACTTACACATATCTCTAATAATTGGTGCCTGGAATGACAGTCTTTTCTGATTTTTCTCTTCTATATATAGGCAGCCGAGCTACAATGAATCTGGTCATATCTCCTATTAAATGCTGAGAATAGCTACTATTTATAGCCTATTACTCCTATTACTTGATGCTGGAATTTATCTAGTAAAGTCTATGAACCTAGACACTACCATGCATCTATATACACATGATTATTTCCAACACTTACAGTCTTAACATCCGTAAGTGTTATGTTTCTGATGCACTTTCATGCGCAGGCAGAGGAGCAACTTATTCCTATTTTTCATGACAAAGGGATGCGACAACAGGTGAAATTTCTGTCAGATACTCAGATAGTCTTTCTACTCTTTTCTGTTTATTTACCTATCTCCTATGTGCAGGCACTGTCTTCATATGTTTTTATAGCAGCAAACGTGATACTTCACTCAAGACAGTCTGTCCAGATATACCACCTGAATCAATTGCTTCCTCCGATACTGCCGTTCTTAACATCCCATCATCACAGTTTACGAGGTTTTACTCAGGTAAAACCATGTAATTGGAAGTTTCAACGACCATGTAATTTGAAATTTTGTTGAAATGTGGAAACTGAAGATCCATTTTTATGCAGCTACTTGTCCATTCAGTGCTATCGAGGTTGTGGCCTACTCTGCATCTCGAAACTTCAGAAGATGCAGTCTTTGAGAGGAGGTGCTTTCAAGAATTGAAAGATTATCTGGCAGAAAATTCTGACTGTGTTAGGTAATACACATACTATGTTTTTCTTTTATAATAGTGGTCTTGGCTGTGCTGTCCTGACATATGGAGTTTGTCTGGATCCTGAACCTTGGTCTTGTTTCTTTACACATACTAGGTAAAGCCCCATTTGTTGATCGAAACCTCCAATTGTTTGGTAAACTCCATTTTTTCCTCCAATGTCTATAATTCCTGTCTTCTGATTTCAGGCTTAGAGTTTCAATCGAAGGTTTCCTTGATGTCTTTGATCCCAATGCATCTGGGACCCCTTCTGGAATATTTAGCTCCCGCCCTGAGGTGTATAAATTTTCTGTGCTTAGTATTAGGCTATTAGCACAATTTAATAGTTCCTCATGTAAGACAGAATTTAGGACCATTTAGTTGTTTATTAAGGGGCACAATGATTGAGGCTTGTATAATTCTGAGTATCTGTTGTCCGTGTAGGTGTCTGACTTTGAATGTGTTCCAGTGTCAGTGATGGAGCGTGTGATTGAGTTCCTGAACGTAAGCACTTCGAACATAGACAAAGCTTTGCATCCGTGGAGCTGCAAGCTAAAACTTTGCTATTTCAGGATGTGAGGGAGGACTTGAGACAGGCCATAGCAAAGGATACAGTAACAATCAAGAATGAGGATCTCGCAGTGGGTGAGTGTCACAACTTGGAGAAGAGTGACGAGAGTGGGTCTGAGATGGAAAAAACTGGTCAAGATATATTGGATTTCCAGAAGAAAATAACGCCCCATAGGGACTCTGAGCAAGCATTTAACTTGAACACCAGAGGTCATTCAGGCATTGGTGATGAAAACATTTCAAGAATAATTTCAGGTATTCCATGCAAATTTGCTGGTGTCTATATTGTTGTGGGTTTATGATGACACGTAGCCCTTACTCGATGATCGGCCTGTGGCCTGTTGCGGTTGCAGAGATGGAGGAAGATGACCAAGTTTTCAACCTAGCACTAGAAGCAAGATTGCATGCTGCAGAAACAATCAAACAAAGCCGGCAAGAACTGATAGTGGTGGCATCATTGGTCGACCGCATACCAAATCTTGCAGGGCTGACGAGAACGTGTGAGGTATTTTTCCATACTATAATTCCTCCTTACTTGGCGTATCTTGTGGGGGCTAATGCTATTAAATCTCGTGTGCTTACCTTACAGGTCTTTAGAGCAGCTGGTCTGGTTGTCGCTGACAAGAGCGTTCTTCAGGACAAGCAGTTCCGGCTTATCAGGTTTGGTTGGCTGCTTGATTGTTTGTTGCCTTAATAACATGATGATGATAGCAGTTGATGATGGATCCTGCGCATTGCAGTGTCACCGCAGAGAAATGGTTGCCCGTGACGGAGGTCCCCGTGGACAGCGTGAAGGCGTACCTGGAGAGGAAGCGGGGCGAGGGGTACTCGGTGATCGGGCTGGAGCAGACGGCCCACAGCAGGCCTCTGGATCGGTTCGTGTTCCCGGAGCGGACGGTGCTGGTTCTGGGTCGGGAGAAGGAAGGCATCCCAGTGGACATCATCCACATCCTGGACGCGTGCGTGGAGATCCCGCAGCTGGGCGTGGTGAGGTCGCTCAACGTCCATGTCAGTGGTGCCATAGCCGTCTGGGAGTACACACGCCAACAACGCAATCAACGTTACTCCTAGCTTGTAGCTTGTTTTTTGTTCCATTGATCATTGACTTTGACTAGTACTAGTAATATTGCTGCTCTCCAATCCAGTTTGGGTTGCGACCATTCATTTGTCATTCCCCCCTCAATCAACTCTTTTAATTAGATCCATTTCATTTGTCACCCCCTCAATTAACTCTTTTAAGTAGAAATTCTCCGAGGGTCCATTTAGATTCTTGTAATTGAATTCATTCGAATAATTATAATTTAAGCATAGATTAATTAAGCTAATATAGCTGTATATGGAATATATTTATATATTTATTGTTAGACATACGATTGATATGCTTATATGTTGCATTTCTATTGTAGAGAAGTGAATTGAAGAATGTGCTAAAGAATAAAATTATAGCATTACGATCTGTAGAATCTATTTATATCTCCCACCCTATAAATTTGAGATAAGGTTTATTTGTGAGCTTGGAAAGTTATGAAATATCAAATTCTAAGTTAAATAGCCTAATCCACACACAAGACCTGGCTGGGCCCACACCTTCCCTCCCACCAAGACTGAACATACTTTGCTAAGAAAAAAACCAAGACTGAACGTGCATACATGTCACTACGCCTGCAGCAATTAAGGCTGTTGGTTCCATGCCCTAATTTTTTCCGTTAAGATTCAGCATACATGGCTTGGCTATATCACTGCTGCTAATCTCATCCAGCTCAGTTGACAAAACGTATTATTGTGTCAAGAAAAGGCATTCAAGCACTTGGCACTTGAGCGAGCCTGCCTGCCCTGTTCGATTTGGCTAATAAACCGAAAGTACCGTTGGCTGATTTATTGTTAGAGAAAAAATTAGAAAAAAATTAGATCGACATCAGGAGTAGACAGTGCAGACTTTTTTTTAGACCAAAGTGCAGACTATTTAAGTACTGTATTTATTTATAGAGGTCGACCGGAACTCGCTCTTTATTTTATTGCTACATGTAATATACAGTAGTTATACAATTATACCAACACAAGATTACATGACGTGTGTAAATGAAAAGATATCGCATGTCGGCATGTGCGATTGATGTGAGTGACACTAAGACCTCCAGGCTCCAGGGCTCCAGTACGGGCATGGTTTTTTTTTTCAGTGCGCGCGTGCCTGCTCCAGGCGGTGCTGCGCCCAGTCCTTGACGTCGTGCGCCTTGCCGGACTGCTGATGCTGCTGCTGATCCGACGACGAGGTCGTCGTCTGCAGGTAGCGGTACATCCATGCCAGCACGGCCACAGCGGCCGCGCCGAACCCTCCTGACGAGACTAAGCCTGTCGTGAGCAGCGCCACCGTGATGGCCGCCGGCACCAGCACGGGGCTCAAGATCACCAGCAACGGCGTCGCGACGATGAGCGCCAGCACTGTGCCCGTCACCGCCAGCCCCGACAGCACCAGCATGGTGAAGGCCGCCGTGGCGGAGGCTAGCGCCTTGGCCACCGCCATGGCCGCTGACTGCTGCTGCTGGCCATAGTGGCTGGCGTTGTAGTCGTCGTCGCCGTAGAGGCCCCTCATGTAGTTCTCTCCGACGGCGTCGCTACTTCTTCCTCCACGATGGTGCGCTTCGTCCGCATGATGACCAGTGGCCATACTAGCTAGTACTTGTTTCTTTCTTTGCAAATTGCTATACAACAAAAATCAAAAGTAGTACTTCCTAGTCGCTGGCTGGCTTGGTTTGCACCGATGGACCAGCTAGATGATCCTGAACCGAGCTAGTAGTGTGCGTGCATATATAGGACAGACAGCACAGCACAAGGACTGGATGGAGTGCATGGATATTAGGAGGGAGACACGCGAGAACGCCTCACCGACAAGTGGAGGGGTACGTGGCCACGTTTCTGCTCCGCGTGGAAGCCCGCATGTCTCCGCTCCTGCCGCGTGTCTTCCACGCAGGCGATCAATACTGGGCTCCGCTTCATTCGGCATCTCACCGACAAGTGGAGGGGTACGTGGCCACGTTTCTGCTCCGCGTGGAAGCCCGCATGTCTCCGCTCCTGCCGCGTGTCTTCCACGCAGGCGATCAATACTGGGCTCCGCTTCATTCGGCATCTGGCACTGAACCCCAAGGCTGATCAAGACCGTAAAGATACTGGCGGCCGTCTTCCCCGTAAAAGGCTTGATCCAAACAGACAGCGCGTAATTTATGGGCCGATCCAAGTATCTAAATAGCGCAGATCAGAAGAGCGATCCAATCACCGATCGGAAGGTCTGGCCGAGGAGGAGCAGCGCCTGTTTTCCGACTCTGGCTCACCTCTCCGACCGGAGCACTCACTCCGGTCTCCAGCCGCCTCCGGACGGCCTCTCTGACCAGAGTACACAAAAACCTTGTTCATTGTTCTTCTCCGACTGGCGCAATCAAAGTCGACTGGGACCAACCGACCAGGGACGTCCACTTGGAAAGGACCAGGGAACGAATGGAGAAAGTAAAACAGGGTGCACAAGTCAAACCACGATACCAGAGACCGTACCCTGTACGTCTACAGAAACAGTACTCTGCAACCTCTCTGACACAGTATTGTAGGTGCCGATATTTTCTCTATAGTATTGTGGGCGCCATTAACTCCTATACGGTAAGGCTCCCCCAGATGTCTCTGAGCATCGACAGTGTTGTGAGCGCCGGCATTTACCGTACCAAGTGAACATGGGGAAACTCCTCACATGCCTCTGGGTATCAACATAATAGCAGGTACCGACATCTGTCATACCCGAACAAAACGACGGAACCTCCCACATACATCCGACATCCAACAGTATTGTGGGCGCCTACCATCATCATGTACCCGCCGGCGTGGGCAGCAAGGCTTAGAAGCATACATACTCTCTCCCTCTCACATGTAAGGCCGTCCCCTTCATTTATAAAAGGGGATGCGCACTCTTCCAATATTCAGGTGATTCCAAATTCATTAGATCAACCAAGTTCACTAGCACACAACCACAGAACCGCCAGGTTCGAACCACAAGCACACACTTGAACACTTAGCTCGTAGCAGAGCTCCTGTCGCTCTCGGCCCTTCCGACCGGAGCCCGGCCGGACCTCTTATACCCCTCATCTTTCTTCTTCTCGTTTGTAATCCCACTGCAAACTTCGAGCACCTGGGCTCAGGAATAAAGTCACCGACCGACTCAAACTGGACGTAGGGCACGTTGCCTGAACCAGTATAAACCCTGTGTCATTGAGTGCTAGGCCACCTACGATCACAACGTACGGCAAAACTATAAATATTTACTTGTTGGTCACTTTCTGCACCGACACAGACTAAATGCTGAATGGAGGAGAGAAGACAGGAGAGAGGAGAAATGGGTTGTAAGATTATAACTGGCTTAAATACAAGAACCAAGCAACTTTGTGAGAAAGACAATTGAGCCATGTATAAATAGTGAAGATGTAACTGTTAGATTGATCTCTAATCCTAAACTGGGCCCAACGGCCCAGTTAGGCCTTTGATCCGCGCCCTGATCGGGGGTGCCTAGCCCACTATGGCTGGAGGACCCCTGACACACTACGCTATATATAGAGGTGTGGGCTGGCGGCTCTGAGTATGAGGTTCGCCTGAACCGAGCTCCCCACTGAAACCAAAACCCTAATCCCGATCATAGAGGGACGCAGCCAGTGACGGGAAGCCACCAGCCGCGCCGCCCCGCTCCACTGACATCGCCTCTTCCCTAAACATCGCTGCGCATGCGCAGACTTCACCAACGAACAAGATGGCAGCTTCTAGACCATCTCCCTCTACGGTGTCAGGTTCGACACGTTCTTCTTCACCCCTCTCTTTCTCTCGTTCTATCTACTGTCACTTCATTAGTAGATGTTCTAGGACTCATGGTTTATCCAAGTGCAAGTAGGCATGCTAGTTCTATGCCTAGAGATCCTGTTTTAGGTTCAACAATGGTACCAGAGTCAGGTCTTCTAGGGCTTTTAGATCTAGATCGGGTGAACGAAAAATGAATCGGGTTAATCCTAACCCTAACAAAACCCTAACCCTAACCCTAATCCCCAATCGGCAAAGAACCGAGAAGAACACAGCAAGATCTAAAGACAGAGAAGGGGAAAGGGGAAAGGGCATGGGAGGCGGCTCGCCGGAGCTAGACCGACGGCCGCCGGTAGCAAGGGTAACCCTAACCCTAACCGGGTAAAAGAAAATGAAAAGAGACAGGGAGCCGCACCGTCACTATTTTTTGTCAGGGCGCGGACTCAGGGGCTCTGCGGTGGCGCCGTCGCCATTTTCTGTCGTCTTTGGACACCGCAGGCGAGAGAGAAAAGAAGGGGAAGAAATTGAACAGATTGAAGAAGGAGATGATTCAAATCGGATCAAATCGAAACCCTAGCACCAAATTCCAGAACAATCCCCAACCCAAAGCATAAGAATACCTTCATGTCGACGACGATCTCGCCTTGGCCCTAGTGGTCCTGTAGTTCGCCGTCGGAAGAGAATGGGAGCCACGCCACTGCTCCATCTTAGCCCGTGCACGCGCGGGCTCCGCCCTATGGGCACCGCCGTGGGACCATTCGACGGAACCGCGCGACGGACGCACACGAGTTCTGGCGAAGGGACCCGCGATGGTGCCGCCATCTCCTACCGCGCGCTCTCCGCCGTCACTGTGCTATCACCGGTGGCTGGCTCAACCGAGAAAAGCGAGGGAGAGAATGAAAAATGTTTTAGGGTTTCCCCTGTCGGCCGGTTTTGTTCAGCAGGGAAGCAATCGCTGCCGTCCGATCGCGATCAACGGCCAGGGGCGCTCGGGCCTTAGCTGGGCCGGCGGGATGAAGTGGCCTCTTGGCGCTTTCATGGCCTAGGCCTAGGTTAGCTTTTCGCTGGCCTACGTTTCTGTAAGTCGGGCCAAAATATGATATGGGCCGAATGAAAAGTAATGTTTATGGATTTGTTTTATTATTTTAAGAAACAATTTTAATGAATTTTGTTTTAATTCTCTGTTAAATTTTGAACCATCAGGATAATTTTTCAGAGAATAGAGAAATTACAGAGAAATGCTTCTGAAAAATAGATAACTTTTTACGTTTTCCGCTGCTAAAGAAATAGTTTATTCTCCAGTTATTTGTCACAGAACCGACCAATTTATAAGAGTACAAGTACAAAAACAATCGCCGAAACGATCAAATTCTCGCACTTGAGCCCATATAAACCCGGTAGTCAACTGAAACCACGAAGGATTTCAAACCAACTTGCATACAACCAAGATCACAGTAATTCAACATAACATCTCACATGTTACAACATTTCATAAACAACTTGCAGATAGATTACAACCCATCAGAGTCATTGTTATTACAAACCAAGTCTTATAAAGTAGCGGAAGCAAATAGTTTAACTCACACACATGAGTTCAAATACCAGTACCAGTTTGTCGATCACATCCAACAAAAGCATTTAGATGAGATAACAAGAGATCATGCCCATGATCTAGTCTTCGTCACCCGTCGGGTGGAGACAATACTTATAGAAACCTGATATAGAAGGTCATCTGCAACAAGAGGGAATAAACCCTGAGTACGGAAATGTACTCAGCTAGACTTATCCGTCAGAAACCAAAATAAATGACACCAAGGATCATGCAAAGCTTTATTTAGAGGATTAGGCTGACACTTCCTTTTTGCGGAAAAGCATAAGTAATAATGATTAACTTTTAACCTGAGCTAGCAGTGACTTTAAGCCATTAACCTATCATCTATATTAGCACCTATACTAAGCAACCACTTGATTAATATGCAAACATTAATAACCATAGCAGGTATAAATCATGGCAACATTATCCATCATCATCATCTTCCATTTAACCATATCGTTAAATTAAGTGAATCTACGTTGCTGCTGCTCAAGTCAAGTTCTCACTATCCGGGAGAGACGGCGATTCGAATTGATTCCTATCCAGCCGGAGGGGTATTCCTAACACAAACCCTGCTTCCCCCGTCAGGGTCGCAAACAAGTCACCTTTGGTACAACTCAGGAGAAAAATAAAAGAAAAGACGCGGGTCTGGGCCGCCCTGCATTCTCAGAGAACCATTCTACCAGAAAGTGCAGGATTTTAAGCACCTGACTCCCCTTGGACTTATGCCAATGGTTCTCCACACATCCTTACTACCTCCAAAATGCATCCAACCCCCATGGATCCCGGCCTGAGTTGAGCTACTCGGCTTCACGGTCGGAACGACTTATCCAGCCAGCTAAGTGTTAGGCTGCGTTCAATATGACATGAGGACGTACAGCGTATCGGTCCTTAAACGACGCAGACGGAGTCACTATGTTCAAACCTACACAAGACTCCGCCCGGTCTTAATTCATTATTCACATGGTTCTTTTCCACGATAGCAAATATAGCCAACCGTGATCCACCTCATCCTAAAGCTCGCAGGTGACAGGAAATCACCTGACTTCTACCGCACTAAGCATGGCTAAGCATTTAACCTATTCCTGAACTTAAATGGGATTCCAGTGCGATATCTGGACAAGGAGGGATATATAATACAGCAATTGGTTCCAACCAATTCCTATACTTAATGCAGCATCAACGAATAAAAGATACTCAATGTATTTGTAAAAACATGGGAGGCTTAATATGCTCCGGGGCTTGCC